TGGCCTGCACCCAGACACACAGAGAGAGAGAGAGAGAGAGAGGAGGGCGATAGCTCAATGCTCTGTGCTATGTGACAGTGGCCAAATGGTCAGCAGGGAGCTTCACTGAGTTAATGTCTTTTCATCCTTTTATGATTAATGGTGAAAAAGAGTTCATTTCTTCACATGCCGGCTGTTATTATGTCCTGGTGGCTTCCCAGCCTTCGCAATGACTCGCAAGTAAATAACACATGGCCATGATTTATCGATCACAACTGTCAAATCAGTGGCTGGAGTGGAAAAGTTAACCTGGACATCAAGTCCTTCAAGAGGAACACTCGTCGCTGATTGAGATTCTAAGAGCGCCTTGTAATTTGGCACTCATCAACCTATTGACCTGCCTGATGGGGCTGTGTTGTCCAAGCTGAATGAGTGGCAATCAGACGGCTACAATAGCCCAAGCACTTGATAAAGCATTCAATAAAGCTACAATAATCTCTGATTGCATTTTTATGAAGCCAAGCGTTCCTTCTTATTGTGTAAATGTGTATGTTGCTCACAAAAAATGACATGTTGCTAAAAAATCCACTGGGTGAACGTGCAGGACATGACGTAAGCCTGCTGTTAAAGGGCCTGTATCGTGAAAAAAAACTTTTTTTTTTTCATTAAAAGAGCTTGATGTAGTATGTAAATGCTGTAAACATTTGAGGGATATGTGTAAATAAGGCTCCAAAAACCTGCCTGTTTTAAACAGCATGTTTACATGTGAACACATTTACATATAACAGCCAACAGCATTTTAGTCCTGTCCATTCGCGCTGAAGTTATGAGTGTTGCAGCTTGGATTCGCTTTTTGAAAGAGCTTGATGCAGCATTCAAATGTTGTAAACTTTTGAGTGCAGTCCGTAAATGTACATTATGCAGCTAAAAAGCAGCCCACTTTAAATGAATTGTTTTCGTGATGTAACAAAAAAAAACATTTCCATGTTTTCCAGCCTACAGCAGTTGAGCCCTGCAAATCTCTGCTGAAGTAGGAGTGTTTCAGCTTGGACTGCTTTTTGAATGCACAGTACAAGTTAGCCAATTAGAACTGAGCTCATTTACATATATCAGTCTTAAAGGCGCAGTAACAGCCTTTTTCATTTTAATGGATGAATAGATGTTGGAAATGTTTCATCTAAAAATGAGTGATGGCTCTTTTTATGGTACTTGTTAGCTTGTTAAAGGAATGTGATATATTTGCATTTGCAAAATGCATTTAGTGAAGATAATATAATGTTGTACCCCTGTTTACCCTGTTATTCTTTGCATTATTATAATTTATTCTGCTTCTACTCCACATATCTCTTAAGCAGCGTCAAACTGGACCCAACCATACCTCTATGAGAGGAATCTGCAGAAATTGATGGAAGTTTATAGGTCTTATGCATTAAGCCACTGTAGGGCTTTTTTTTTTAAACAATGACATGAACATCTGGTCAAACTTCAGTATATACTACAAAGTATCAGTAATGAGAATGCAGTCACAGCTGCTGTATATAGTCCTGTACTTTAAAGGGGTATGGTAAATGAGTGCAGTGGAAATTGATTTTTCAGAGATTTCCTCATTTAAGAATCTCTCTGGCCAAAATCTCCTCAAGTCTTCCAAACATCTGCCTGGATCAGTGTATCTAGACATGGAATTATACATATTCATACAGTGTAAACACAGATCAGTCAAATAAGCAGAACAATTTTTTTTATTTTACCTTTCAAGGCAGATGCAAAAATGTTTTTTTTCTGCTTTTTATTCAGCTCATCTCCCTTATTAATGATATTTCTCAATGCTGTTTTTGTATTTGATATGTAAGGAACAAAGCGGTACAGTTCTATTTTGCTTCACAAGCTGCCATTTTGAATAAGAAAATACTAAATAGGAATGCATCACACATCAGTTACAGTTTGTTATTCGAATGAAACAAATCCATAATAAGCGTTTCCATTGCAATGTGAATTGAGTTTTGAATGTGTCACTTAGAAACTGTTGCAGAGCATCCAACAATAAAGGCAGCGGCTTCTTTTATACAGCAATAGGAAACTCAAGAGCACACAGATTTCCACATGCTGATCCATTTCACTGACCAACGTGGACATGCACGCTCACCAACTATTCTGAGAGCAGATTTAATCAGTTAAAAGGGACAAAGAATAGATCAGCAGCAAGACACTTGGTTAGATAGGGTTAATCAGTTAAGGCTATCTACAGTACAGTATATCCATTGGCCAGTGAACCTCTTTATGAGCAAAATACAAGTAGGGGTTTCCCCAGTTTTTTTGCCTTCTGATCCCATTGGAATTTCATTAATATTAGATATCAGCTGATACCAAGCTTTTCGTAAGTTTTCATAAATAATGTAGCCACACACTTTAGGTCTAGTCTGCTAGTTAATATTACAACAAATTTTCTTTTTAGTGTGTGTATAATGTATCATTCTGGACTGGCATGTTTCATTTTTTACTGCTGCAGTAAAATCATATCACTTTTGATATAACAGTGTGTATAACAGTACACAACAGTCTGAACTGCTATGTAGTAGCCTGCTCTTTTTTTCCCTTTTTGAAAGCACTTTTAAACACTAGTTTTAACCCAGAAGTGGTTTTGTATCTAATCAGTTGTGGCTTGTGAGCGAAAAAGTCACAGGAGTGCATTGTCTACATCATTTAATGTTGCATGTGATAAACAGGCAAAAAATAGACGTGGTAGTTGTGTTCTTACATTTTATACTCGGCAAACACAGTCAAAAAAACAGGACTGCAGAAATAATATTTTTCATTTTCCACTGTAAAAGTGCTAGTTAAAAGAGCTTGATGTAGTATGTAAATGCTGTACACATTTGTGGGCAGTCCATATGTGTAATTAAGGCACCAAAACCAGCCTCTTTTAAACAGCCTGTTTTTTTTGTGTGTGTCACAAAAAACACATTTACATATATCAGCCTACAGCAGTTTAGCCCTGTTGAGTCACGCTGAAGTTACTTCTGAACACTTTTCACTTTTAAAGTGGAAAATGAAAAATCTAATTACTGCAGTCCTGGTGTTTTGACTGTTTGAAATGGAGAATGAAAGGCAAGAGCCCAACTATCACGTCTATTTTCTGCTCTTTATCGCATGCAACATTAAACCATGTACACAATGCAGTCCTGTGACATTTTCATTAAGATGTTTAATCCCCCAGGGATCGCCTCTGATCCCAATCCACTGGATCTGGATCAGGACATCACTACTTACAAAGAGTTTCTACTTTAGTGGATAAAAATCGTTGGTTAACCATGACCATAACAACATGACTGTCAAAATTCGATCAAAATGTGAGGAAAAGCCCACCTCTAACATAATGCTAATTTGTGCTATAGTCCCTGTGAGATTCTAGTAGTTTGTTAGCACTAAGCTAATAACAGGTCACATGAAAGTTTTTCGACAGTTCCAGATTAAACACAGACATTTGAAGTTCTAACATTCCATGTTTTATGGCAAGCATATTAGCATATGTTTTGCCTTGTAGCAGTTTCACAGTGACACTTTTAGCAGAGTAGACCAGTATAGAGGTGCTGCCATTGATTTCCATTTCTAGCAACTGACTGATTAGGCTGCCGCTCGTATTTGCAGTCAGTGACATATGTAGAACTTCCATAAGACCTTGAGTGAAGTTTTTTCTTACAAAATTCGTCCGATTGCAAATTAAAACGTTCATCGATTGACTCCTTTGTCGCCTTATGCTGATGGCTAATCTAGCACATAAGGCCTTCATGTCAGCTTCTGAAGTCCTAACCAATGGAAGAGCTAGCTTGGCTGTTTCCAGGCCCTGGTCATCCCATGGGTTTTATGGGTGCGTGCCCAGGGGCCTGAGCCACTAAGGGACCCACACGGGCAATTATGAGATAATCTAAACAACTGTTTTGACTCACGGTGGGAACTTTACTAGCAGCACAGTGAAAAAATGAATTAATTTTATCCTTGTCATTGTGTTAAGGCCAATCATAATCCTGACACCCTGCACGTCTTTCCTAAACATCCTCTTCAGTTTTTTTTTCCAATCACTGCTTAACAACTACTCAGTACTCAGTCAAGCTTTCAGATTTTTAGAAGTGAGTTTTTTTTTTTTTAATATACTTTGAATTTGAAGCTCCAGATATTCAAAAGATGTGCCTGGGGGATCTGTAAAAGCGAGACCTGAAGCTTTGGCAGAGTACAGGGTGGCCATTTCAAGGCCAAATATAGAGTCAGCCATCCACGTTAAAGAAAAAAGTCATCCTTGTCATTAGTGATCTGTGAACTGAAAAAGAATGCTTTAGAATGCACTATGCTTTAGCTAGAATATTGATGGTTTGGGATGGTTTGGGAAGAAAGTTTGCTACTTTCATCCATCTTTATTATGTACATTTCAGCTGTCTGATTTTAATTTGTCATCTTCATCGAGGTACATGTTATGCTTGTCAAGAGTGGACACATGCTTTGAAGGGAAATGTTGCATTGGTTTTTGGGTTTGTGTTAACCTGCGCTCTCATTAATGTGTAAGTAATATTGCTTTTGCTTTGTCTTGATTGGAAGAAATATGCATTTCTAGAGGTGACATGCCCAACACTGCGGTTAGCATGCTGCCCTTGTGGTGCTGCATAGGCCTTGTGTAACTGCCATGATATTGTAAAAAAGCACTGAAAAGGTAGCCAGGTAGAGATCCATTATACGTATGTGCCCAAGGGCTGAAAGCTTGATGAACTGGGCCTGGCAGTGTCTACCTAGATATCACAAAGGACAACAATTCCTGATGGGACAGTTATCCATCGGGCATTTCAAGGATTTAACCTTTTTGTTTCCATCCAAAACTACCAAAACTAAAAATTACAGACATGTATTTTTTCAGTTCCTAGAAATAATTGGGCCTTCTCTGAATGCCTAGAAGGTACTGAGGGTCTTTCACTGGTGCAAATACACTTGAATATGGCTGGAATGAGAGAGTTCATCTTGTGTTCTTCATGTTTCAGGTTCAGGGCTGAATGATGGAGAGTGGCACGATGTCCGCTTCTTGGCCAAAGAGAACTTTGCCATGCTGACCATTGATGGTGATGAAGCTTCAGCTGTGAGAACCAACGCCCCCATCCAGATCACCACAGGAGGAACATACCACTTTGGAGGCAAGTGTTGGAATGCTGCGTTTTTCAATAAGAACGACGAGCAGAATGAAATTCAGTGTTAGTCTGCGCTGCTTTTTAACACGTAAGTGAAACTGCGTCGGATGTGATGAAGGTTTCTAGAGAAAAGTGTCCTCAGATCTTCTCACTGCTTCTCCCTGGCGTATTGGAAGCTGAATTTAATGCACAAAGGCCTGTCTTTTTTCACTTCCCTTCTACTTAAAGTCTTAGATGGACAGAGAGATGTGCGCTTTAAAGGCACTGGAAAACTTTTTTTTATCGCTCTAATGCATGCATTCAGATGACTCCATAAAGAAGAACCCTGCACATCAGAAAAGTTTAATGTACTTTCATGTCTTATTTAATTTCCTCTGAAAATTAAAGAGAATATGGTCTGCCGAAGCCAGGAGTAGACTACTTTCCCAGATATGTGGGAGAGTTTGAGATGCAGTGGCTCAGATGATAGACTCTTCAGAGTCAGTCATGGGCCATTAATTTGTAAACAAATGCTGGATGTCAAATGCAGGTGATATGCTTGCTGTTTGACAAGTTTCAAGTGAAGTCAAGTGTCAAGTGGCTTTTATTGTCATCTCTGAATGTAACTTGTAGACATTGAAATGAAATGTCGTTCTTCAGGCCCATGGTACAACACACACAGTGTAAAATGAATTTTATAAATTATACTAATTTTATTTAGTATATTCCTGTGTTAAGCACATTAGATGAACAAAGGTAAGTGCCAACCCTTGCATTTTGGTCCCATGATTAGGTTTGTCTAGTACAGTTACTCCAGCAACAGATGGGTTACAGTCTTTTGTAATTGTACAACTATACAGTGGATCTGTAAGGTATGCGGACCTCCAAAGTGGCCAATTAGTGGAAATACAAGGTCAGGGTTTCTAATAAAGTGGCCAGTTAGCGGAAGTACAAGGTTGGTGTTTCGAATAAAGTGGCCAGTGAGTGAATGAAGAAGGTAGGTGTTTCTAAAAAAGTGGCTAGTCAGTGGAAGTACAAGCTTGGTGTTTTTTAATAAAGTGGCCTGTGAGTGAATGCAGAAGATCAGTGTTTCTAATAAAGTGGCCACTGATGGACCAGTGCCCAGCTTTCTCCAGCCATCTGTTCATTCAGGCATACTGAAAGTGGTCAAACATGAGAAGGTGGGCAAGGAGGCAAATACGTAGAGTTAAAATGGCAGTCCATCTCCAAATGGACTGCAATGTCTCGCTATCCATGGAGCTGCCAGTTAATGTTGAAGGATGGCATGGCTGATAGCTTTATCAGCCTCACTCATCTTCACAAAGGCTTCGATGAGGACGGAGCTGCAGCCTGAGCCCAGCAGGCCCTGACAGTACATTTACACACGATGGCCCGCAAAACGAGATCAGAAAGTCTCTCCACTGCCTTGCACACTCCTGATGGATCGCCCGAGCCTGGCCGTAATTATCAATCAATGATCCTCCATCCATCGCTGTTATTTCCAGCCAAGGGCTGATGCGTCTCCGCTTTCTAATTTGTTTACGACTGATTTCTCCAGCGCGGTAAGAGCCTCCATTGTGCAAGGAGAGCAGGGCCTGTGAACTCAAGAGCTGTTCCATTTGCCCCACCAGGGACTTTTTAGCTGTAATCAAATAATTTATATTCTGGTCTTTTTAGATGGCCTTGTAAATGTAGAGTTGCCTGTTCTCTAAAAAGTAGACAGTTGTTAGACTCGATGTCTATGAGAGTTAATCTCATTAACCCAAGCCATTTTGCTAGCAACATAACTAATTGCATAGTTGCTTATGAATTCTATTTACATTTGATTTACATTGTTAAAGTTTGCATTTATGATGTGTTCTATGAATCTTTTTTTCGTTTTTTTTTTTCTTGTTTTTTATTGTATTTTTTCCATCTGAGGTCCACTTATGTTGGTTTGTCTAAAAAAAAAGACATTCATTTTTACATGACCTCCAGCCTCTCCTTCTCCATTAGAATTAAACTGTTTTTTTTGTTACTGTGCCTTAAAAGGGGAACTCCACAGATAAAATTTATTTACCATTTAATTTACTGCCCAAAACCTCCAATGAATCTATGTTTCTGAGTTTTTATATGTAATGTAATAATGGCAAAATAGTGGTAAACATGGAAAAAAATAAACTACTTTGCCTTAGAGTGCCCTGTGTGAACCCCTCAAATATCAGCATATCAAAAAAAGAAGTTTCAAGCGAACAGATTATCACAAAGCTATTGTAAATTAATGTCACAGTCTTCAGGCAGTGTATCATCACCATTTAATGTAATAATTTTCTGTAGGGAGCATTTAGAGGCATTCAGATGTCTGGTTCCTATCACCACTTGTCTACAATATTTCAGGTCAATGCGCGGTGAATGACGTTTACATCTTAACCATTTAATTGTGCAGAAATTTAGGAAAAATCAATGTAATTCTCTTTCAAGATGAACATCTGTTCGGATTGGTCATCCTGTATAGTGCCTCATTAAAAAAGCTGTCGGCGCTGAAACACTCCTTATAACTTCAGCGTGAATGGGCGGGGCTAAACTGCTGTAGGTTGAATATGCAGATATATGTAAATGACATTACAGAAACCAAAATTACAGCTTACTTTCCATGTCTAGACAGTATGAGCTGGGGAGTGAATGATATGTTTTGAAGCAATGCTTACATGCTAAACTCTTCCATTTCAGAAATGTAAAGAAAATGTGATTTTCCATGATCAGCATCTAAATGCAGATTATTTTGCTCTGTACTCATATTGTCACAGTGTGCCTTATGGTGGAGGCTAAAATGCATGGCCAGGTGTTAGCCCCAGTGCTGCGCTAGCATGGCCAAGCAGCGTAATTGGGCCTGTTGATGCTAAGAGGCTAATTCAGAGGCACGGGCCAGAGCACATCAGATTTAATTGGATATAATCATCAAATCCAAGGCACTGCCCAATCAGTGCCATGGCGACAGCAAGGTCAGCCGCACAAATCACTGGGCCAGATTGAGTTGCCCGTGGCAGCTAATGAAAAGTGTTTCATTACAGCTGTAGCTCATACATTGCTGTTTCTCTTTCATCCAGCTCATCACATCCATTTCAGCTCCGCTTCCGTTCAGCACACCATGCTAGTTTTCGTCTAACTCCTCTCTCTGGACAGCAGATCAAATATGCATGATTTGTTCAGCTAATTTCATGACATTTTGACTGTTTAAATGGTAGTATGATAATAGCAGGGCCATTTCTTGCCAGGAGCAGTATAAGCAGCTGCTTAGGGCCCCCAGGTGCCCAACAAGTATAGCTTTATTTTTTCTTTTATTTATTTACAGTACTGTGAAAAACTCTGGCGCCACCCTCCATTTATTCAATTTTCATTCAAAACTGCTATTAAATACAAGTTATTCTTTTTATTAGAGGTATTTCTGAGGAGATTAGATGTAAGATAATCCACTTGCATAAGGAAGGAGAAAGTCAAAGGGAAATAAATGAAAAAAACAGGAGTTTCTAAAACTCAAGTTCAAAAAATGATTAAAAGCTACAGAGATAATGGGTCTCCTAACAAGCATCTGCAAGACCTGGTAGACCACCAAAACTGCCCCCTTCAGATAAGCAGCACTTAACGCTTTCATCTTTGAGAGAATGGAGAAAATCAAGCTCCACTCTTACTTCAGATCTGAAAAAAATCCACAGCCATCCTTCCACTGTGAGAAGACAACACAACACTGAGTCTAAAAGGAATTTGTAGCTGTCAAGAAGCCTTTACAGAGAAAACAAAATCAAACAGATAACCTGCTGGTGTTCTCAGAACAATGGACTGACCACCCCGGAGTCCAGATCTCAACATCTGAATGTGTTTTGGGATTACTTGGATGATGAGAAGCAGAAAATGCCAAAACAATTTCTAAGACTGAGGTGCAGAAAAATATTCCTTCAGATTTCTTTGAAAAACAGAGAGCAAGAATGAAAGCTGTAATAAAGTGGTCACACTAATTAATGAAAAGTTCTATTAAATATAGTTGTTGAGGCTTTGTGTAATTTTCCTGTGCTTTTTTTCTGGTGCTGAAACCTGCAGAACTGTTCTGGCTAGAAATTAAATAAATGGAGAGTGTTATCTGAGTTTTACACAATACTGTAGTTAATTAATATTAATATTAATGATTGAAAGTATTAATACCTTTTCATTCTTGAAGAGGGAGGGGCCCAAGGGCCTCCAAATGTTCAGAAATGGAACTGACTAATAAGGCCTTTTGCAGTTGCTGGACCAGGTTTTGCTTATTTTTAGTTGTTATTTATTTATTTTATTTATTTACTGAATACTGGGAGGATTTGGCTTGGACTGGATTATATCTACAATATTTTCCATATTTTGCCAGTTTCAGCAAAGTTTTTTTATCACCCATATTCAGATTTTCATGAGAAAGGATACAAATTGCATATTTTAATACTCTGCGGATATAGCGAAGCGTACCGTCTTTGTCTGTTTTGGGCCGGACATTATTCTTATCAGTGTGGAGATGATTACCCCACCAAGTGAGAACATCAACATGTGTTAGAGGAAGATAAAGTGCTATCTGCAGCTCTTGTTTGTACCTGATTTTAATTCTCATTACTGTCAGATTGACTTGGAGCAGATTGTGTTTTGCTGTAAAACTCCTGACATTTCTCTGCCTGATTTAGGTCACGGTGAGTGATATGTGGCTTTATTGCTGGACGCTACACAAGGACATATATCACACAACGGAGGGACAGTGAAACCTAAAACACTTGATCAGGACACTGTCATGCTAAATACTATCCTTATCTACAAACCACCGACACAATTGAGCATGAAAGTTAAATGTGATCTTAATTATAAATAAAAAACACAATTATAAATAAAGAACACAAAATCTTTCACTTTCTGAAAACTATGATGCCCTGTGTTAAGCTTGCTTCATGACCTGAATATACACTGAATGGCCAAAGGTTTGTGGACACTTCTCCTAATTGTTGAGTTCAGGTGTTCAGCCAGATCCATTGCTAACA